TGGATTTTAATATGCAAAATAGGGCATAAATTTAAACTATAAAATGAATAATCTTTTCTTTTCATATATTTAAGTTTGTATAATAATATTATAATTAAAGTAGCCTACAAATTAAAAGTAATGGATATGTATGATTAATTTCAATTTCCAAATTTAAATCAATTTGTTGAAACAATATTATATTCAAAATTCATACATTTTTAATATTTTATTTTATCATTTTTTTGATTATAAAATTATATTTTGTTGAAAGGATTTTAAATCTTGATTAATAATCAATTACTTAAATCAAATCATATATTTAGGACACCACAATAAATTCAATAATATATTTTCTTTGAGGTGTTTGTAGTTAGTTTTTTTTATTAACCTGGACATCCAACCCGCTATGTGAGCCGATTAATTCCAATGCGACCACATGCTTTGTAGATAGTCCGGAGTCACCGTATTTAAACCTCTGTGGCCACAAGGGGATTCTTATTCCTCATTGGATTTGAACCTGAGACATTCTAGTACTTTTGACCTTTGGAGTCAAGCTCAAACCAATCAGACATCACATTTGAAATGGATTTGAAATCACTAGTGTATTTGATTTGTAGGATTTGAAATAAAATTGAATTTCATTATTTATAGATAAATTATAAAAGAATTATAAATATCATAAAAATAATTGAATTACATTGTTATTAATCGATTATTACAAAACAAATGTTTTTAACATTTTAAAAATCTTATTGCATATAAACCTACAAAATCTCAATAAATCCCAAACACTCCTTAAAAATTTCAAAACCATATATTTAAATTTTTTTAATTAAATCCTAAGATTTTAAATCCGAATAATACAACAAATCAAACATGAATTAAAATGGATTTAATATACAAATCTTAGTAGATGCTTTTAGATATACCGATTTTTACAGGAGGATGCCCATTATAGGATGAGGGAAGGCCCACAGCAGTACAATGTTGCAGCATGAAATCAGCCCCAGATGTTGATGACCAATAGGATGGATGGTCTAAGACAGAATGAAGACAAATAGAGATGTTTAGAGCCGTCCGATTGAGTTAGAGATCTAGCAGTACGTAGTGTAGGACCCATGGGCTTATGATAGGTCCCATTCCATGCAATATGCATACATCCTTTGGGGTCCTCTATACAATGAAAGCAACAGCGCCCTTCACATTTGGGCACACTGACTGTAGATTGTAAATCAATTTTGTTCCCCCAAATATGCCCTTACACAAACTACCCCACAACTTAAGCTTTTATATATAGAGAAAAATAAAATAAAATTGGGAAACATTCTGGTAATAATTTATCTGTATTATATGTATATGTGTATACAAGTAATTGAAGTTGTTTTTTGGTTTCTACTGGTAATAATTCATCTCGTAATAATGTCATGCACATGTCCATACCGGACCAATTTCTTACAAATTACTTGTATGCAAGTATGCATACTTGTTATATGAATGGTTATAGAGTGTTCCTCAGTTTTTCAATTTTTGTGCTTTTCCCTGAACCTGACCACATATCTATACTATATTATAAAGCATTTGGTTAAAACTCTTAAACTCTTAAAACTCTTAAACACGTTCATCCCTAAACAATTTCATCTCTATCCGATTTCATCTCATA